GATGCTTGGCGCCGTCGTTCGCTAGCTTTCAATCTTATCCTTCGCAAGGCTGCTTATAAAAGAGTAAGCGTAAGTTTGTGCAGACTCCACTCCCCTGTGCTGCTTGTGAACTAAAGTCAAGCGTTGGATTCATGCAATTTACACTTGCCACTGATGTGAGGTTGAAACTTTGCGCACATAGTAAAGGCACGAACAATTGTTTTCCAACGCTTATGCTCCACATTTATACATAATGCCGGCTGGAACTACAAATACGCTCATTGTGTTAAGAAAAAAGGCGTAACTATGTATGGAAGTGCCTTAATCGTTGCTATTAAGGGGCGCATAGCATGGCAATGATGTTTGCGGGCAAAAATTTTTCAGTGAGGCCAAAAATAAAGAAATAAAAATTTAAAATACATACATATGTATGTATGTAAAATTGTAAAAAACACATCGAAACTACAATGGCATTTGAACCGTCAGCAAAAGCTGAAGTACTAGGCGTATGAGTAACTTCATTCCTAGTCTCACTCTCTTCCACTCCTTCCACTCTCTTCTAACAATATGAAAACAATTCTCAGCCAACAACAATACTCTTCCCCAACAATCAGTGTCAAAAGACAAACGGCTAAATAGCAAAGCAGATAAAAAGCACATAATCATCAGCTCTTCAGCCACCATTCGCTGCTGTCGGCGCAGAGAACTTTACTTTCCGCTAACTTTGTCGACTTGCTCAGCGAGGAAGACAATAAACAATGAACTGCCTAAATGCTCAGGCGCAGTTGAAGGTAATGTTAGACATCAGCACAGACAACGGAATGAATGATTGTTACAAAAACAAAGCGACGAAGACAAGATGAGCTAACAAATTGCCTTTGACAGGCCACAATGTGCTGATTTAATAAAAACACTCAACCTTATATACATATTTAATTGGCGCTTTGTAACCGCTGAAGCGAATTTCGGCCGAGCTTCTCCTCCAATTTGTGGTTTTGCGTCTTGTTGTTTTACCAACAAATGTATGGACCTGCCATTTATACTAAGCCGCCTCCGAACGGTTGACGGTTTTTTACGAGGAGCCTTTATTTCACGTCAGAAATACACTCGGAGTGGTTGACATTTCCTGCCGAGGGACGGCCGCAATTAGAATTAATTTTCTATAATTTTTTGGCTGTGAGCTCGACACCAGGCTTTAAACCCGATCCTTCTGAATGGCAGTACGCAAAGCTAACCATTCGGCTACCGCGACCGCCACCTTTTAGGACAAATAGAAGCGCAAAAAGTATTTGGAAATGCTAAAAACTATATAAAAAGGCGATAAAAATACTGCTCAAAAACAGAAGGATTTACATTTACTGGGTGTCAGGTCTTAAAGAGCACGTAATCTATAAGTATTCAGCAATCGACAGACAGAGACAGAGACAGAGCTTACTTCGAAGCTTTAGACTTTCAATCGACAAGGGACAAAGAACCAAAACCACCGCTTCACTTTTTAAATACACAATAAACAGTACAGCAACACAGTCTGATCGTAAGTATTCTGTCTGGCAACATTATGGACGAAACAAACTATGTCAGTCCGCTCAACCTTACCTAATCTAACAACAGCTCGCGACTCCTCCTAAAGCAGTTCAGCGCTATTTGGAAACACCAAGCTAAGCCAGGCCCTTTCCTCCCTGATCTTTCCAAGAGAGTGGAGGTCTTCCTTCTTCTGTTTCCACCGGCAGGCACTACGTCGAAAACAGGAAAACAAGACTTATTGCGTCCAAACTTATGACGCGATAAAGGCCAGTAAGCCGCTGACCGAGTTTTTAAACCGAGCTCACAACTGATATGGCAAATACCAAAAAAAAATTTAAGTGTAACTAATCGAGATATATGCCAGGCTATTATTCCTTTTACATCAGCTTTTGACTAAGTTTAGATTAGAATTCACGCACACCTCAATACAGCTACTCATTTGATGGCATGATAGGGTTGCCCACTTTCCAGACCGGCCATTGCTTCATGAATAGGGCTTGAACACCATGGCTGTATCGCGAATATTAAGTAATCATCTGGGGTAAATGAAGAAATCTGCTCGATGGGTAACATGAATTTTAGAAAAAGGCCCAAAAAGAGGCTCGAGTGCCTTTTGCTTAATTTTTCCTCAACAGTTCGAAAATAGTCAGTCTAGCAACTTTGGGGAAGTCATTACTGGTGATGAATCTTGGTTTTATAAATACGACCCAGAAACCAAACAATAGTCCATGGTAAGGAGCCTAACAGCAGCAAAACCCACCCTTGAAATCTGAGTAACAAAGATCAGCAGCAAAAGTACTTATGTCAGTTTACTTCAGGCGATATAAAACCGTAACTGCTATTCCATTGGAAAAGGGTCAGACGGTAACTGCAAAATAAAACACCGAAGAGTGCTTACCAAAAGTTTCAAAAATTTGTTAGAAAATAGGAAGAAAGAGGTAGAGGTACAAAAAGAATTGTTTTTCTGGTCAACTTAACGAATTTTTGTTATTCTCCTCGTAAATGGTGATACAGCGTGGCCACGTTTCGTGCTTTAATAGGAGATTATGGTGCACATAGATTGGCTACAAATATTGGAAGGCCAGTGCATCTTTGTTCTGGTCGTTTCAACTGAAATATCGCTACTGTAGAAGAAAGTGTAGCCGAAGACCTGAATGTGTCTATTTCTCAACTCAAATGCTGGAGCTTTCAAATAACACATTATGACATATTTTACGCTTGGCCTTATACTTATATCCATATAAAATCCAGCTCACACAACAACTGAAGCCAACTGATCATTCTCACTGATGTACATACCTCGATTGTTTGCTTGAACAACAACGAGGCATACTTCTCACCCGTTGGATAGGCCAATAAAAAAATCATCGTATTAAGGCCCGGACAATCATCAAATTGTTAAAGAGAGAAAAAAAATACTGTCTGGGGAATTCTTCCATCACTCAGGCCTTTATTTCCCTAAAAAGGACAATTGCTTAACTGTCACTATCCATGCCGAGGGTTAGGATCATATGATAACCGATTTTCTTTTGACCTTTTTCAATTGAAGAATATTACTTTCGACAATACGGTGGTCATTTAAATGATCTTATGTTTCGCTAAATTCAAATTTCAAAAATAAATAAGGAATTTTATGATTTGAAATGCATTTCATTTTCGAAACCCGGTAAATAAATAACCCTGATAACTGAACTATGGTCTCATTTTGATATATTTCATTTTAATTATCCAAGTAAATTAAAAAGTAGCGTACGGTTTAAAATTCATAAAATCAACTATTTTTCTACTAAGGTGTGGCAAAAAAAGCTAATAAAAACGAGGCGGTACGTAATGCAACGGTGCAGCCAATAACATATGGTCCACTGACATCGCCATCGCTCTACTTTTTGTCACGATCGGTGTTGCGTCGCCTTGACATTGACATCGATAATTCTGAAATAAAAGAGCTACTCATAAAAATAAACTACCCACGCGGAACCGGCTTAGGCTGGCGATTTTTTCCATTTTAACCAACAAAGCAAAGCGTGAACTGTGCAAAATCTTCCGATGTTTGAAATTTCTAAACTTAGCATTAATCACCATTACCGTGTATTTATGCGCGAAATTGTTGCTACTTTCCACTGCTTTTTCTTTATTTATTTTTTATTTGTTATCGCTTTTTTGCGAAATCTCGTTTACCATGGGACACCCTTATAATACCCGCTGTGAATAGAAGTAAATATTTTCACCACACACTCACCATGATTTCCTGCCATTAGTGAGAAATAAAAACAATGCTTTTTTTTTTGTTTATTTTTATATTCACGATTAACTAAAAATATTTATTCACGTCATTTTTTTTATACATATGTATGTATTTTTATATTTATTTATGTACGCATATTCTTTTTTGACTTATTTCTCCACTTCCAGCTCACTATAGCACTTTATAGTAATTATCATTGCATTATACTGTAAGTATATATTAATGTATGTATGTATGTATATAATTCTACAATATTTTATCTTATGAAATAATTACATAACTAATAAATACAATGTAAAGTAGTTGTTATACATATTTATTTATAATTATTTTTTTCTTTCAAATGTTAAAAGTCAGAAGGCAAAATAACAAATGTTCACAAATAATAAAAACTTATTTAAATTTTTTTTTTCTATTTTATTTTTTATTGTTTTTTTTATGCATATGGAATTTGTATTGGTAGAGGTGAATTTAAGCCGTTATATATAAGTATGTTATTGGGTGTATGAAAACACGAACTATTTCTTATCTTTTTTTTTTTTGTTATTATTAATTGTGTGTGGGATTTCTTATATATAATCCCCATGGACTCTTAACTGCAGAATAGTGTTTTACTTTTAATTAATTTTCATTTCTTTTACCGGTTTTATTTGAATTATCCCTTAAATATTTCACAGTTTTTACAATTTTTTGCTTTATTTGTACATTATTTACAATGAATTTATTTTTTTTTAATTTATTTTTTTTTTTGTTTTTTGTTTTGGGAAGCCTAGACATACCTTGCAGCCTATTTTTGGCGCAAAATTGTTAAAAAATAAATTTTATTTAATTCTTTATTTAGTTGAAATAAAACTGACGATCCAGAAATATGGTTTGCTATCGAAAAAATGTTTCAATCATTATTTTCTTCACAAAATAATTATTATTATTAATGTTTTATTTTTGCGCAATTATGTAACTGTTCTTAAGTTCTATTTAAATATTTTTAATTATTTTTATTATTACTATATTGTATTTAATTTCTACCACAAACATACGCACTACTTTCTTAAATATTAGAAATACATTGACACTTAGACACCTATTCGTACATTTAAAATGGTTCAAGTCTATGATTTTCGAAAACTTTGTTTCTTAAATATTTATGTATATTTATTTTTTTTTTTATTTCTTGTTTTGGTAATTACATAATAATATTATTTTTAAGCATAGTGTAATAATTATATAGAAAATGCTACTAAAGCCAATAAATAATAATAATAGTTATGTTAATACATATATATGTATGTATACACATATGTATGTACGTAGTAACGAGATCTTATGCATGTAAAGGAGAAATACAATAGCTGAAAATCGCTTAAATTATTTTAATTAATAATATATTATTATATAAATAGTCACTGTATTTTGTGTGTCACTTTTAATTGGAAAAAAAATAAAAATAAAAATTTAAAAAAAAATTAAAAATTAAAAAATATCTTCTTACCTTAACTTTTAACTACGATTAATCTAATTATTTAAACCAAAATTTTTATTTATAAATTTAATTCATATTTTATTTTCAAGCTTATCTCTGCGCATAATATAGACATATAAATGTATGTGCTTATATGTGCGTGTGTATATGCGTATGCCATTTAGCATATCTAAAATCTACATACTAACCTACTTACGTTGGGGTTAAATAGCAGTCAAAAAATTGTATTCTTAAAGAATTACGCTTACGCCCATCAAAGCGACCATTTTTCATTTCATTTTTTATTTAAAAACTATTTTCTTTATATTTATAAATGTATGTATATGGCATACAACAACTACTTCTACATTATTGCCTTACCCTTCCCTATCAAACATTAAAATATTCTCTCTATCTCTTTCTTACACACTCACTTTTTACATCCCATTCACTCTAATCTTCATGCGGCACCTCAGCACTCGCCTGATGCTCCAACTTAATTTTCATTAAAGGCGATTCCCGCGTGGGCGGATAAGAAGCGCCACCGCTGGCAGCACTGTCGGCATTACCAAAGAATTCGCTGGGGAAGAAATCCTCAAAACGCGGACTTTTGTTCACCGATTTCTGTAGCAAACCATTAGCGATCGCTTCAAAGTCAATGCCGGGCGGCATTGCTTCAGCGAAACGCTTATTGAATGCATAATTACTCGCCTGCTCTTTGTTCTTGTAGTGCGCATAAGCAGCTGCCGCTGCGGAATCAGTGGCGGCAGCAGCCGCAGCCGCTGTGCCTGGCATCTTTTGGCCGCTACTACCGCTGGGCGTACCAATGGAGCCACGAGATTGATTGCCATATTGACGTGCTTGCATGGCTTCTTTCAGTTCACGCTCCCGTTCACGTTCACGTTCTCTCTCTCGCTCACGCTCGCGCTCCCTCTCTCTCTCGCGTTCACGTTCGCGTGCATAGCTAGCGCCAACACCGCCACCGCTTTGGTGCATTTGACTAGCACGCGACGCAGCCGCCGCTTGCGCTTGTGTGGGCATCACATTCAGTCCGGGTATGCCCATTAAGCCGCCCAACGCGCTCAAATCGGCCATACTATCGGAGGCGCGTCGCGCTTCGGCATGCTGTTTGGCATTCGCTGCCGATACTTGATCTTCGATTTCCGAACGCTGGAGATAGGCTGGCGATTTGTACATATTCATTGTTTGTGAAATGGGTGATTGTTGTTGTTGGGACATGATTTGACGGCGCAAAGTTTCGGTCATCGTCGAGAGTGGACTGGGCGAGTCGGGTGGTGCCAGTGCGGCGTTTTGGGCGGCTAATTTAGCGGCGTTGTGGTAACCGTTGGCGGCGGCTGCGGCGACAGCAGCATTACCAGCAGCACTAAAAGGGGAGCCCTGTGAAGTAGAGAAAAAAAGGAAAGCAAAGCCACTAATAAATATTTTTTTTTTCATTTCTTTGATGAGCAATATTTTTTATAAGTATTGTATATAGATATTTCATTTCTTATTTCTAATTTAACTTAATTTTATTCTAATTATTTTAGTTTATTTTATTTTATTTCTTTTTATTTAATCTAATTTTTTTTTCTTATTTTTTTATTTTATTTTATTGATTTTTTTTATTTTATTTTATTTACATTCATTTATCTAATACAATATGTATATAGATATACGTACACAAAGAATTTTGAACAAAATTAAGAAAAAGTAAACATACCGCTTGCATTTGTCCATTCGCATAAATATGTGCCAAATCCTCTTTGATCTCGCGATAATCCCTAAACACGACAGCTTTAATAACGGAACGTATCAACTCCTCCGGCCACATGCCCAACAGAATACGTTGCGGCCTACCACGTGCCTTCGGACGCGGATCGGTGCCACCATCCAGTGAGGGTCCCAACATATTATGCACGCGATTGGCATACAACACGAATGTTGGGTAAGGAATATCGTATTTGCGTGCAGCTTGTGATAGCGAAAGACCTTCTTTTAACACACTGAATATAGCTTCGGCCATTGCTTCGGGACGCCACGACTTCAGTGGCCCACGCTCGCGAAAGCGCAATTGTTGTACGAGATTTTGTTGATTTGTGTTCCAACATTTTTGCCACATCGATTGCAATTGGTATTGGTAACTGTCTGCTAGGACGAAAATGGGGAAAAAACGGAGAAAACGGAAATTTGAAATGTCGTATAATGATATAATATATAGGAGTCAGCAACTAAGATGCTAATAAAAAGAAAAACAAGAAGGAAAAGTGCAGAGTTTGCAGATAAGCCTAAGAGATCTAATAACGCTCTCAAATATTTATAAGACAGAATTAGTTTAAGAAAAGACAAATAAATTTAATATTTTCAACTAACCGGTAACGGAAGACGTCGATGCACCACCCATCCACGGATGTCCGCTTTCAATCATTTTGGCCTGTAAAGAAAAAAGTAGAGAAAATATCGTAATTAGCTAAGAATTAATACACGTAACTGATGATTTCTATTATTATAGTAATTTATAATTTATAACTTTTTTATATAAGATTTTATCAGTTTAGGTAAAACTTCACCACTGGACAGTTCAAGCAAAGAGTGGGACTTTAAGACGACTTTTTTTAATAATCTTCGAAATATGAGTTAATGGAGAAAATAATTTCTAGTGGAATACGTGAATCTCAATAGTGGATCCTTGATTGATCGTTAGCTGGTGGGATCCTATGCCACACAAAGGTAAATTATGTTAGGTTAAGCTGATTGACTAATTGAAAAATCGCACATATACCACACCACGACCATAATGTTATCATAAATACCCCCTGTCTTTAGTCAGCATGTAGTAGGATTCGAGTCATATGTTTCGCTCATACATTTCAATATTCCGAATTTCCTTTTATGTATTTTGCCAAATAGATTAGCTTGGCAGCCTTAATGGCATTATTATCCCCGGTTGGGCACAGTAAGCTGCAGTTCCTACTCCACCATTCATTTCAGATATACAAGGCTTGGTCTGGGAACTTCAGTAATTTGATTTAGCAGCCTGCGTCTATTTTAACTGTCAAAAATTTCGCTAAATTAAGGCGCAGGTCACTAGGCAAATTCTATATGTTACTACTGCGCCCAAAAATTGTAAAAAAAAAAACTAGATTGAGACATGTAAGTTCGCGGCAGTTAATAGTTCGCTATATGTTTATACCAGGTTTGCTGGTGGTATGCCATGCAAGATCGCATGAAGTGCTGCTAGTGGTGTTACTTTAGGAGCTACGACGTAGTTGTGGGTCGAAAGTCTGAGACTTTTCAGATTTGAGCAGATTTTTTAGCCCATTTCACCATAACAGAGCCTCATTGAAGAGCATGGGCTTAACAATCGCAACGAGGATCACGTACGAAAAGGTCGGTGCAAGCCAACGACCTTTCACATTCTGCTGCTGTCTTCTGATGCCTGCTCTTCAATATTATTCTCAATTACTTGGAGTTAAAAAAGAAGTTTGTTGGACCAGCAGAGCAACTGGAAAATTTCGAAAGATTATTGAGTAACTCGCATCTGAAGATGAGTTGGCTAAAAGTCAAACCAAAGAAATTGGGTTTAAATGATCGCTATTTGGGTATTAATCCTCTCTTACTTTTTCAGTAAAATCTATGGCAAAGTTTTTAAAGACATATTGGTAATCTTGACTGACACTCTCTTTTTTTATAGTTTATATGGATTATAAAATAGTTAAATTTAAAAAAAATTCGAAAGTTTCTCTTTTGCTGAATTTCCATTTTCTATCTTGTCTCTTCTATCTATCTCTCTCTTTCTCTCTACCAAAATGTAAATCAATAATCTTAATAAATTAAGAAGTGTTTCATTTCCACAACGCAAAAATTAATTTTAATAAAGAGCTAAATATAAAAAAATTAAATTTGCAAACCAACACTACACAAATTTCACTTATTTTTACAACAATAGAAACGAGCTGCCTATATAAATCAAACTACAAAAACACTTGTAAGCAGCGGTTAAACTCCGCCGTCGCTGTTTTTTTCAAGTTTTTCCCCTACAAACGCCATTTTGTTTTAGTGAGCGGCTGTCATAAACGACAACAGCAAGCAGTTTATATAACCGCACACAAATAATATCATAAATGAGTACATACACGTATGTACATATTCAGCCAGTAGAAGCTTTTTTCTACAATACAGCTATAAATACAACAAGTAACCGGACAAACACGCACAAACATACACAGGCACTTATGAATATTTATTGCCATAAATATGTTTGTAGGCGCGCTGCTCAATGTTGTTCGCCGACCTATCATACATAGCGCACACAGCGCTCAGTTGCAGTTGTAAAGTTCAGCAAGCGAGCGAGCAGTAGCTTGTTTAGACTCATTCGCGCGCTTGCCATAAAAATGTTTCCGACTTCTATTTCAATTATTCATATACTTTATGACCATTTTTTTTCTTCTTCTCTGGGTTTTTCATATATGCAGATGTATATGTGTGCTTCGGCATATGCTTAGCAAGTCTCATTGGCAAGCAAGGATATTTTCCTATATCACTCGAGATATTTCTATGATATGCATTTTTTTATTTATATGGTTGGGGTTGTGTGTGTGTGTGTTTACACGCTGTAAACGACCCACATTACAGCTGCTACTATCTTTGTTGCCTAATTTAAAATATTTAGCGCAAAATTTCTCAATTTTTTCAAGTGCGAGTAAAAATTATTACATAAAACGATGCCTCATTGGCACGTTCTTCCCTAAGCAAAAAACAAAAATGCTCATAAAATAAGTATAGCATACATGTAATCCTGCTCAAATATATTTACTTAAATTAATAATTTTGAGTTCAGAAACCTGATTAAAAAAAAATATTTTTTTAAGAATATTTTATTATTAAATATTAATTTAAATATTAAAAAAAGTATTAAAGATTAATCGAAAGAAAAGAAATATCGAAAGTAATTTAAAAATTATTAAAATTAGTAAAACTATTAATACAATAATAAAAAATAAATTCAAAAAAAAAAACTATTAAAAGGAAGTATAAAAAATGTGTCTTAAATAGTTATGTTTAGAAAATGTAAGACATAAAGTATGTAAAAATAAAAGTAAAAACAATTTAAAAATTAAAATACAGTAATTTAAAAAAAAAATATTAAAAAAAAATAACAAATTTTTAATTAGAAAATAATAGAAATAAGAATAATTTAAATATTCTCATTCTTTTGTCTTCACAGGATTTTCATGAAAAATTTACAGAATTTATGGAACAAATACTGATTGTTATTATTAAAAATATAAGAAACAGTAAAAATTATCTAAAAAAAAAAAATTTTTTAAATTACATGATATATTAAAATTAAATAATGCTTATCTAAATGTGCAAAAATATATAAAAAAAAACACTTTGAAACAGCCAAAAAACATTAAAAATTTAAACAAAATATATTATTTAACATTTTAAAAAAAATAGTAACTTATTGTGTCAAACAAAATATAAAATTATAAAAGTTAAACAAAAACATTTTGCAAATTGATTAAAACTATTTAAAAAGCGATGCGAGTTGTTAAAATCTAAACAGTTTTAATGTTCTACTAAAAACATAGTTAGAAAAACAAATAATTAGGTTTAAGGAAAATAATTAATATTAATAATAATAATAATAATAATAATAATAATAATAATAATAATAATAATAATAATAATAATAATAATAAGAATAATAATAATAATAATAATAATATTTATAATAATAATAACAATTAATAATTTTAAGACAAATTGGAGGAGGAGCTCGGCCGAAAACCGCTTCAGCGGTTAGAAATCGCCAGTTACATATCTTTATACATGTATATAAATAATGAAAAATAAAATAACCTGAAAAAATTGTATATCCCAAAAAGTTTAAAATAAAAACATTGAATAATTATTAAAAAAAAATTATGTAAAAAAATTCATACAAAAGAAACTGAACTGCCTGTGCTTGATGGTTACTATAAAAATAAAAACAGTTATTAAAAGCTCATTCAAGGAAAATTTTATATTATTTTATTTTATTATAAAAGTGATTTATTTGATGGCAGTTGAATTTAATTTTTTTTTTAACGGCCTTGCATAAATATTTGAACATATTTTACATATGTTAATAAATCTTAAAACAAATTTTATAGAATAGAGAAAAATGAAGTTTGTAATGAATATAACGAAAGGAAAATATAAACAACATGAAGGATTCAATATCTAATTAATAATTTTGAACTGTAAAAAGTAACATAAAAATTAAAAAAATAAATATGTAACCAAAATTAAAAATTAGAAAAATTAAATAAAGTAAAACCAGTTTTGTAATTCAAGTAAATAAAATTACTACTCTCATTAAATATAGGAAATAAGGAAAACAATATCACAAAACACCCATAAATTTTAAATTGTTGAAAAACTTAAAAAAAAATGTGAAATTATTATCTACAAATTATACATTAAAAAAATATTAGAAATGAATTCAGCGTATGTTTTTCCTCAGCTAATCCTTTACGACCAGCTGATGAGCGGAGCCCTCAAAGAAAAACGAAAACTGAGCCCGGCAGACACGTGTACAGGAGTCATATGCTGACCACGTTGGCCATTGTCGAGTTTATTACTTTCCTTTGCAGACATTTCATTGCATATTTAACGTTGGCACGATACGAACATCAATTTGTTGCTGCCACAAAAAGCAGTCAACAATGTAATAAAGTAGTAAAGCAACTAGCGGCACACTTTGGGCCAGCGCCTATTTATGTTAACAACTGTATGGGTGCATGTGGGTGTGTGTGTGTGTGATGATGATGAACATGCAACAAGCAACTTGCTTAAAAAGACTTTGCTACCCATACAAATCGCTTTTGTTTTCTGTTGCTTGATTTTCCACTTTCCTCATTTCAGCTTTGCGCTTATCCTGTGAGAATAGCGATTTATTTAAAGAGGAATTAGTTGATTCCTTACTAAGCCATTTCCTTTTCTACTACCACACTCTAGTATGCTCTGTTCTATGACTTTTTTACTCAACTGAATTATAACTTTTTCGTTACGCGATGTTGCACAGGCAATATGCAAATGTTGCACGTTTATTAATAAATCGCAAAGAAAATGTTATGGAATGCAATGCAGCAAATGAGCAAGGAAAAAATAGAATATAAAAAAAAAATGAAAATAAAAAAATTCAACACCACAATTGAGCAGTAAGCATAGCAATGATTCTTGTTAAATTTTGCTTACTTTTTTATCAACACTCATTCTATTTAAGCGAGAGCGCTTAAGTCGCCATTCACCAAACGCTTAGCATTTATTCGAACGGAAATGCAGCCTTTTAGGCGCTAACGCCGGTAGCATGGCTTTCCTTTGCGCTTAGCAATTGCAAATTTGTTTGTTGCTTTCCTCTGCTCATGCTTTCGGTTTTCTTGC